GGACAAGAGGCAACGGGCAGAAACTGAACCACAGGAAGTTCCATCTGAGCATGAGGACACACTTCTTGACTGTGAGGGTGACAGAGCAGTGGACCAGGTTGTCCAGAGAGGTAGTGGAGTCTCCTTTGCTGGAGATATTCAAAACCTGCCCGGATGCGATCCTGGGAAATATGCTCTAGAGGAGCCTGCTTGAGCAGGGAGTTTGGACTAGATGATCTCCAGAGGTCCCTTCCAATCTCAACCATTCTGTGATTCTGTGGGAGAGGTGGGAATCAATACAGGGATCATTAACAGTATGAGCACAGGGTGTAACATCATTTGGAAAATACCAGTAACTTTTGGTGACCAGCCTTTAAGGATATCAGAGCCATAATGTTCAGGAAGGCCGTTTTCCACTTTTGCCAAACAAATCCATTCATTATTATCATCTATTATTGTTCCTTCTCTTTCCTCTAAGCATTTTCTAATTTCTGACAGATATTGAGGAATCTTGGTATTCTCCTTAGGAAAGCTGTTGAAGGTTACTCCAAGTGTTACTGATGTATTAAATAGTACAAAATAAGACATCATTTGTTCAGTTGTATGAGAAGTTAGCCAGCGAGTCTGTGTTAAAAGACTTATCGTCTGTTAACCTATATGTTTTCATTTAGTCAAAAACATATGTCACATTATAATGGCAAATACTACCTTTCATGTCTGTGGTACCCATTTTACTCTACTGTAAAACCATGTGAAACTTCCCAGCCAGAGTTATTACACATAGTTACATTTAGACTAACTAGATCTTAGAGCTGGTATCCTCTATTGCCTGCTATCAGTCCTTGACCTCATGCTGTTACAGCTGGTATTCCTGTAGCTGTAGTTTTAAAGATAGACTGTGAATTATCTTCAATACCTGAGTTGTTCCATGGGCGACATGAAAAGACAGAACCTAGCTTCAGGTTTCTGTTCCAGTTATCGGTGTTCCCATGGCGAGAAGGTAACACTATGTTTCTCTGCAAGAGAAGACATCTAGGTCTTGGACATCATCTAAGCCTCAGTACTGGTGGACTTACTCCCCTTAGTGCCTCTAGCATCCTATACTCCTTTCCCTTTGTAAAACAGCAGTCACCCAGACTGATCTCTGAGTTGAATGTTTAACCACAACCTCATCTCCAGGGCTTCGAGAGAGTTTTGCTTCTATTTTAACAGGAATTCATGCAGCTGCTGGCACAAACCCCTTATCTATGGGACTTCCCATGGGGGTTTGTCACTTATTTAGCTGACTTATGACTTCCCACAAAGGGGATCCCCACTTAGAAGTATTCTATGAGAAGAGTCACTCTGATGTAGCTGTTGTTTCTGTCATCCATTCCATCTTTTTGCTGCCCCATTACTTTGAGGTCAATATGGTAACTGGACAGTCCACTGAACTCCATTTGAAGCACACCAAGTTTGCACTCTTTTATTCTTCAGATGTGTTCCATTATCAGATTGCATTCCTCTGGGAAAAGGGAAAGTAGCAAGCCACCAGTTCAAAACCAGCAATGCTTGCTAGACCAGTGGCAGCTCAGGTGGGGTGCACATACCTTCTACTGCTCGTTAGCTCCACTTCTGTAAGGATGTATTTCCAGCTTTCAGGTGTTCACATGAGCCTTTGTTTTAGGCCACCCTCTAGTTCCCTTTGTGCTGAGATTAATTCAACTTTCTTTGCAATAACTGTGGCCAGTCGTGCCCTATGTTCTTCCCTGAACCTTCTTCCATTGTGGGGATTTATTGGTCAGTCACAATGCAATAAGCAAGTAGAGTTAAATTTCTTGGAATATGTTCTAGGATACCAGTTTAGAATGTGCATAGGTGCCTTTGTCAAAATAATCACCTATAGATAAGAAAAGAGGCTTCTAAGGTTAATTTGAGTCACATATGCCGTTTAAAGAGCACAAACTCAAGGGTTTGGAAAAGAAAGATTGCTTTTATCCTAAAAAAAAAAATCTCATTTTTAATACAATCACCCTAGAGAAATTTCTGTTTGAGTTCACATGAGGTTAACTGTTTTGCTTTTGTAAAACACAGGTAAAATGTTCTAAGTATTACAACATTTTTTTAGACAATGGGCAGACAACATTTTCCAATTCTAACTGTGCCAGCTGAATAGGCCAACATCCTCCTACTTGTAGTAGTGGAGGGCATAATTTATACACTGTATAATGTGCTTCAGCCTGAATCAGTTCAGTCTGCTTATCAGCTTTTTAACTAAGCTAATTTTAAGCCCATTTGGGAGCCCTTCTATTACCCTGCTTGCCAGCAGAGCTCCAGAGGGCAATAATCTCTCTAGCACAGAGAAGGGAACAGATTACTGGCAGGATAGTACTGCTCGAATTTAGTGGAGCTCTGGGCAGCGTGAGCGGCTGTCTGCAGCCTTCTTTCTTTAAAGAGCATAACTGCAGTTTCTGTTTTAACTGAGCAGCTCATGCAGACGTTCATAGTCAGGGCATGGCAGCGCTGTCATTCCATGTGACACATTTTCATGTTGGACTTTGTTGTTTCATAGGAGCTTGATGATGGAGATCCTTATACAGTTGAGCATGTATCCAAAGCGTTTAGACAGTATTAAAGCTAACTCCATCCCTGAAGTCTGGGCTCCAGAAATAATTTAGTTCCACCTACTCTGAAGGCAATCAATACTGCATTTCATAGTTTGGCTGTGAGACACAGAAAAAAGTGAAAATGTCTCTGGACTTGGTCAGCAGGATCTGGGGAAAATTGCTTCCTGAACACAAACCCCATGGCTAAGGAGGCCAGGGCCACGGGTCGGAGCTCCCTGCTGGGCTGGGTCAGGGGAGGCTCCGGGAGGGTCCGGCTCTGCGCAGGGTCTCTGGGGAGCGGTGCGGCCTGGGCCGGGTGGGGCTGAGGGCGAGGGCCAGGCTGAGGGCTGGGGCGAGTGGGAAGGGGGCCAGCTGCGGGGCGGCT